GTGCTGTCTAGCAGAAATCGCTACAGCACGACCTTTTGTGTCGAATCGCCAGGCTTAGAAGACGCAAAGGGATGTAGAGGGCAAGTTCAGAGTATATCGAGGTAGGCAATCAGCTTTATGCCTGGGGACAGAACACTCTCCACGTACTGAATAGTCTGTGCGGACCCCTAAATCGGTTTGGACGTGGTGGCAAAGTGAAAAATCTTTGTCCCCGCCTAATTTCGAAGACCAACTTTAAAAAAAAAAGTCAGGAATTAATATTGGAGAATCATTATTTCATTACGCGCGTGCGGGCTTGCACACACACGCACACTTGTTCCTGGAAACAATAGTGCGTCTGGTCCTTGGACATGAGCAATTATTTCCCCAAATTTTGTCCAACTCACTGTCAATGGTAATGAGATTGTTACTTCTCTGGCGAGACCTCCTTGCAAAACTGTGAGGAGTCACAATGCATTTGCATACAACTCCGGTAATTTATGATAAACAGCTACCACAGTCCGCCGCTATTGGGATACCCTGTCAGCTCTGGTTTTCTATTCTGCATTTTCACTTGAATAGGCACAGAAATGAGCGAAATCTATAACATAAGCCTAATTAACGCATCTCGGTACGCAAGTTATTGAACGTTGTGATACAGTTGTTACAATTCCATGAAATTAATTTGTTAGTTAATTTTCTACCCAGATATTATAGCAGACTAAGAATCACAATTATTAAAAAGACGCAATTAGATAAAAGCAGTGGCATGGGTTCCTACAGAATGCTGATAAGTTAAAAAAGAGTTCTTTACAAGATCACAAATATTCACACATTGCACATGACAAACCAAAATTATAAATAGGATTTGAGGATCTCACGGCAGTAAGTCAAAAAATTGTTGTCTTCTGGGTTGTAGCGCCGTGCAGTCTGGTAGAAGTTAGCCAACGTTTCAGGGGTCCTTGATGCCTCCATCATCAGGGTGGTGACTTATCGATGAGCCAACTTCTACCAGACTGCACGGCGCTACAACCCAGAATAGTCATCTTCAAAATAATAAGTGTTATATTTTTCTTTTATAGATCGATCGGAGCCTGATGGCATGCTTCGTATCGCAGATAGTTCCAATACATCTCCTTTGGCATATGGGAGACAATATTGGAGTGGATTTCCCCCTGTAGAATTAAAGCTTCTGATTGGCTACAGAACACGAGCAGCTGCATAAGGGTTCCCCTAGTGTTGTGACACGTCACCAGCTGCCGCCCTACGCATTACTAGATCACAGACACTGGTCCAAATACAACAAAATCACGACTCTTCAGGTGTTCCAGGGTGTCACCGTCTTCACCTCATATTCATTTTCTTTCACTGGACTTAAACATAGTATGTACAAAACTTTGCGGTAAAGTGGTTAATATCTGTGCTCGTTCGAATATCGGCCCAAAGACCGACAGTCACTGACGTTTTGTCTTAGACAAGGAAACTTCTGCGACACTATCTTGAAAAAAGCCATGACTGCTTCCTTCCTAATCATTTACATGCCCTATTTCAATGCAAAACTGTATACAGGGATTGAGGAAACCCACGTATAGCCTCAGGAGAGCTTAATTCTGGTACGAGAACTGAACCCGTAAACTTACACATAAAAACAGGAGCGATAATCACTACACTACGAGTTATAGGCACGAAACTGAAATAATTGAAAAACTAAATGTACTTCCAATGATTTGGGAACAGTAAACTACCTCAAAAGCTGTGTCCATATAGTCAGAAAACTCTTCCTGAAGAAACATGAGAATTTTTGGCAGCAACAAATAAGCCCTACCTTTTCCATATGGTAAATTAACAACCGTATTAAGTCTATTGAATACATTAAGAACCAATCTAAACTGGTAGGTAACACAGTTTAACCAAAACGAAAACAACAGTTCAGAAGATGAAAGACCTTTGCAATTAATACCGCCTCGTTATATAACCTACGACGGCTGACGTAAGTAGACAGTACTCTCACTACGTAAGAAACCAGGTGACAAGAGGCAAGTTCACTTACCGTGCACACTAATTAAAGTTCCCGTATTTGCACCTGAGCCCGTATGAAAGCGCTCTCGAGTCCTTCCGAAATACACAACAACGCACTCATACTGCCACACACACACAGGGGTGTGGGGGCAAAACGCACACAGAATCCTATCTAGAATTTAATTTCGGATCAGTTAAGAACTATGGTTTCCTCACGTGATGGCAAACACAAAAGAATCAGCACTCCTGAGGAAACTCGGACAGTTCTTTCAAAATATTCTACAACTGAACTGCAAACAATATCTGCAACTGACGGAGTGCAGTCACACAACACATGATCAAATCCAACCCGTTCATGACCTCATTTTACGCCAAGTAGCATCGCTTGACAGGGCGCCATTAAATCCGTGGTGATACGGGAAGGAGATGTAAGTAAAAATCTTGTCGTCATATAATTGCATCGCGAAACTCTTTATTAAAAGACCAAGTTAGCAAATGCAGTGCCAAACACGGAAGTGTTCACCCCTGTTGCTCTCCAAGAAACCCACTTGCGTCGTTAATACGGTTCATTGCACTTCCTACAACGCAAATGACAGTAATATTATTATCGGCCTTGGTAGAGGGTATACACCCCAAATAAAAATTCAAGGTGCTTGTCACAAGGCATGAATTCTTTGTTTTAAGAAACGTCCAGAGCACCATTACGCATGTTTCCACACGCATGGGTCTGCACTTTTGATAAGTACCCGCATACCATCCAAAATGTGTACGGAACTCCCAAACCCGTTAGCAGCCGTGCACTAAAATATGACCGCACACCATCGGTTAAGACAGCATTATTAACAAAAGGACGTTATGAAAGAATGTATTAATTTATCCTGGCCAATATATTAAGCATGAACATTACGAATCTATAAACGCCATTACCGCAGCAAGTCAAATTACAAAGAGCTACAACCAGCCGGCCCCTGTCACGGATCTCGAATGCAACCAACGTTACCGTACTGTCTGATAAGTTGCCTATACACATGGCGATACGAATAAGTCAGCATCAGCCACAGAGCAGTAAAGTCACAACACTGTCATGTTATCAGAAGTAATGTGGGACAGGTAATAGGCCATCTTGACTCAGATCTTACGGTTTAAAATCTTCAATTGGTCACGGCTCTAACTCGTAAATCCTTTCAAGTTTGCTGCCCTCTGCGTTGTAGCGCCGTGTGGTCTGGCAGAAGTTTACCAACGTTTCAGAGGTCCTTGCTGCCTCCAACATCCTCACCGCCGTGAAAACCTCAAACCCTACGAAATCCTTAAAAGTTTGCCGTTCACAGCAATTTCATTCGGCAACAAATTACAATTCTGAAGAAGACTGTCTTCTGGGTTGTTGCGCTATGTAGTCTGCTAGACGTTTATCGACGATTCAGAGGTCCTCTATGCCCCCATCACCGCCCTGATGATGGAGGCAGTAAGGACCTTCAGACTCACCACCGTGAAAACCTCAAATCCAAAATAGTACATAAACGTAAAAGATATCTGAACAACCAAAACAAAAAATACTTTGATTTAAATTTACATTTTATTCCTGGAACCAGATAATTTTACCGATAACAGCAGTTCTATTTCAGACAGGAATTCCTTACAGATTTCTCGGTGAAGATGACTGTCTACAGAGTCATGTAACTCTTCAGCGCAACATCCTACAAGGTAGCCACCTTCATACTCATTGCTGTGGGAACATGGAATATTACAAATATCTCAGCATTTGAGGCATGCGATTATTGAATAAACAGATGATACTTACCGGTATAGCAGAGACCAACGAGTGTGTGCGCGTGTCTACGGATCAATGGACTTTCTTTGGACCAATCGACCCTTTCGAGAACATGGTCCACGTAGTCGAAGCCCGTTACTGCTGTCACGATCCATTGGAGCTTGGAGAGGACGAGTAACTCCCAGTTCTACAACAATTAACGCAATTAAGAAGTGTTCCAGGAAACGTCAATCAACTCCCTGGAAACGGAAACCTGTCCACCACAAATCTCAGTCCACTGCCCTGGGCGCGAACCAAGACCTCCACGGTGAGACGAAAGCGGAAATAATCCGAACATTTTAATAATGCAGTTTTAAAAAGGTACGCTAAATACTACAAAAGAAAATATGAGCATCTGGCTTTATCGCATACTCCTAAGAAGAGGAAAAGAAGAACTAGTTCAGTGTCTAAATTTTCATTTCCGAAACTGGAGTTATGTCAGTTATCCTACCGACACATATTATTGTTCCTTGAAAACAAAATCTCTCTTTTCTTCATTAAATTCTGGTAGAAAAACCAAAGTTTTGGCTCACACTTCTCTCTCAGTCAGAGAGGGTTGTGGAACCAATGGCAATTCTTCCCCTCATCACAGACAGACCCAGACTTGCTGATGTTCTATTGTGCAGTGAAACCCCATGACACAGACACAACTTTAAAAGTTGCTTCAAGCATTCAACAAAGCGACATCGAGAACGGTCAATGACCCCACATTTCTCACGGTTAATCATGTGACCACAAAATGACCTTTTCTTACTCATTTCATATAATACAACGGACATTTATCTTTACTTTGGAAGAAACCCATACAAACCTATTAGGCCAGCAGGAACCTACTTAATTTTCTTAAATTAATGGCTGGTCAAAGGGCGGCTTAATGGCGAAACTAATTGGGGAGTCTGCTCCTCTTTAAAGAGCCCCCACTCACCCTTCCGGGAAACTACCCCATACGATCGCCGTCAGCAACCTGTTGTATTCTTGCATGTCTCACCACGACTCCATTTCGCGTCTCAAGATGGCAGCCGTGCGCATTACACCGTGACACATTGACACTACAATATTATCGGGACGCGATCGGCATTAAATTAAACAACTTTCATGACCTAAGTAGCAACGTGGGAATGGGAAACGATTCAACAGTAGCTCCACAACAGTTGCACTGTACCCACCCAAAGGGCAGTATGAATACAAAAATACTAAAGTTAAGCTTCTCGGATTTTCTATTTTGATTTCAGTGTTCCATTCTTTGAAATAAGATTGGGAAAGTAACAGTTAAGGCAAAGGTATCCGTGCACCGTAATTAAGCATCGCGCCATGAAAATAAGAAGAGTAGAGGTAATATATATAGCTCCAGGGAAGCTTAACCTCGACACTGGATGGAAATGCATGATCAAGTTTACCCACGGGGAAGGGGCCCCTTTTACCAACTGGGGAGAAGGCTGGGTGGAACCCAGAGCAAAGAACAAATCTCTGCCTCTGCCGACAATCAAACCCCGTCCTCCAACCCGCTGCATAGCCAGGATACTGACTGAATTACCCCGGCTTCCGAAAGATAATAAGGGTTTGCTCCAACTTCGGAAATGTGCATTTTTGCAATTTCGTTAGAGCTGAATGCTGTTGCCGAGTTGATCGGTACTCAGGAAGCTGCAATGCCTACAGACGCAAACTATTTCCTTTTGCAATCAGTTAAATTCATTACACAAAACACTTCAAATAAAAGCGGAAAATACGTTTCTTTCCCAGACTTGTTGAGTTGTCGGAGACGAAACATGCACATGGGATAAACATTAAATTAAAATTTGTCCATTTTATTAAAGAACGCTCACCATATAAAATATCTGTAATTTCAACATTAACATTTGCAGCTTTAATGTGGAACATGTTTTAAACACAGGGCCTAATAAATATTGACCGAAATACAAATAAAAATGATCTCAATACAATGGCACAGGCTCATCTGTTCTGTTGAACTAACTCGGCAAAAATAAGCCTGTAGGCACATCTATAATAAATTATCTCAAAGCCAATGGCATTGCAAAAGCAGTCATGGCTGCATTTGTCAACTTTTGTTAATTTAATATGATTTTCGATTAAAATTTGGCCTCATATTTTTATGGTGCATCTGGCAAAACGGAAAACCCGATGGGATGTGCTCATCTACTTTCGGCTACATTCATTATCTGCAACAGAAAACAATCCCACGAGCTGAGGCATAACATTCCTTTCTCTGCAAGAGTGGTAGGAGATTCGCGTAGAAACTACATCGGCTGCTGAGTCTGACACTGACCTCATCAAGAGGACTCGGCATGATGTCATTCATTGAAGAAACAGAAGGCAGACACACTTTATTTAGGAACTGTTCTTAAAATAGTCCCAACATAAAGCGCTGAGAAGCAACAGCAATTATAGCTTTCTTAAATAAACGGCATGCTGTAACAAACAAGATGCCCAGAAAAAAAAAAGTCTTGAAAACAAAGGAAAAGAATAAGCAATTTGTCGATTCAACGCCCTAGCGTAAAGAAAAGTCAACTGATGAAATGGAGGAAAGGTCCACTGGGGCACATGTTTTCAAGTCTGAGACCACCAAGTAATTTGTTCTTCAAGAAAACGTTCCCATACTCTGGGAAAGAAACAACGGCATAACAGGCAATCAGAGGTCTTTGTTCTTGAATATTAAATTTTCATTTTGCTAATTTTAGGTACTGGTGCACCGAACTCTCCTCGGTGGCCGCACGCGGTCGAAGCATGGATAATTTCTCCACGTATCTACGTGACGTCTTCTAATGGGTTTCCTGGTCTGATGGATTTCGGATTAACAGCAGAAAGCGATGTAGTAATAAAGTATCAAAATTTCACACCTATTACAAATGTAACTTCCAAGTTTTCGGTCAGAACAGAATGTTGTGCGTACTGCCCCTAAAACGTCGGTAAACTGCAATGAGTCTACGATGCGCAATGTCCCAAAAGGATGTATCTTCATACTTGCCGCCGTCAGAACCTCACATATCACTCCCATCCCTCTGTTTTCTTGGTCCTTCCTGATAACATATTCTAATGTTAAAAAAAACTTTTTCACTGATGTTTTCTTTGCCATATCGAGACGGACTTTTGGGAGTATACCGAGCCTACTGTCCAGCGGTACCAGGGACTCTTTGGGGATTAAAATGGCCAGAGCGTGAAGCTGACCATTCATCTTAATCTAAAGGTGAGGTCAGAAAGAGCTGAATAACAACCTTACCTTCAATATGAGACGCTTAATGCGCTACGGGTGATCCGCCTGCATTAATAGAATATTCTTGCTACGGTGAATGCAATTTGAACATCCCTTTCGATAACAAAGACATATGAGGGGCACTTATAATGACAACACGAACATATGCCTTTCTTGACTGACGCAATTCCGTGAAGTAGCGTATGAAGGTATTCGCCGTCTGTCGCTTGTGTTTACGGTCTCTTGGTCTGGGAAAGGAAGGGCGAAGACACTTCCTTCCTCTTCGCTCGCTTCGTATGATAACCCCAAACGTATTATGAAACGAACAAACAAACAAACAGCGAGACTGAGCATCAGAGATGGAAGAAATAGCTAACTCCCAGGCGACAGACGCAACGTAGTGGACGCCCCGAGACCCGGACAGCCAGAAGAACGGAAACACGGGCAGCGGAGCGACGCATCTTCTGACATGCAAGCGAAAAACAACGGGCGTAATGTCGTCCCAACACGCAACAAAATGCAAAAGACTGAGTAATCGTACAAATTTGGAATCATCATTTATTAGTCTCCTCGTAGTTCCGAAGGCAAAAAGTAAATCACCACTTCATAAAGATGAAAACGGAATGGAGGTAAATATTCACAGTACAGAGTTTATTTAACGACGTTTTTTCAATACATTGATTATGAATACTGAGCAGAAAGGTAATTTAAAATGACAAGTAGGAGAGAACGAACCACACAACCTCGGGAAATACATCTCCAGGTCAATATTCGTAGCCAAGATCTATCTCCGGTCGAATACGAAGGAGTGCTTACCACTTAAACGAGATGTTCAGTATAAACACACCTCAGCACTACACGGAGGTGGCTTCGTCCCTGGGAACGAGGCAAGGTGTTCCTCAGAGCCAGTTAGAACGTGGTATATACAAAAATCTGTCAATAATAAAAGAAACTGGCACTTATTTTTTTTTCAAAGAAAGATCTTAAAATTTCATATTCCTGGACGCAACTCCCTTACAATGGCGCTAGTGTCCATCGCACAGACACAATGCCATTGGAGACGGACATTAAAAGAACTTGGGTAGGATTAGAGGTTTTCACGGCGGCGAGTCCTAAGATGGCCGTCTCCAGGGTTGTAGCAACACGATGCTACAACCCAGAAGACAGCAATCAAAAGAACATGGCGTCGGAACGCACAGCACGCAGTAACCGGTGAAATTGTTTTGGTTTCGGAAAACACCCTAAACACTGCACAATCTCCTTCAGCAGTACAATATCACGAAATTCACATACAAGTGTACTACCTCACACCCCGGGTGTGCCTAGCACATCATACTTCATCTGCATTTACATCTTTGTAGTGACACCCTTCCACCATGAAAGAATTGTACTTGCTTCCGCCACGGGAACAACGCGCCCACCCCCTTTCATTCAAATGTCCCAGCACCAACAGACGAAAAATATATCAAGTTTCATTTCTCAGTTCCTTGTTTGCTCATCTTGGACCAGACACTTTCAATGCGTCGTTGTCGAAGTACTTTCAACTTACGTCTCTCCTTCAAAGTAAGAAACAAAGTTCCAAAATTCTTACAAAAATAATGCATGAAATGACGTCCCAGTACAGTCAGTATCGTCTCAGCGCCCTAGAAGAAAATTCTGTCCCTAGGAAGACCTACTACGTTGTGTGCCCGCATATCTGTTTATTTTGTTGTACCTACAAACATACATCGACGAATTTCGCGAAACTCAGTACGAACAAATCAGCACCACTAAAGACCGAGAGATGTCTATGCTTCTTAATTTACGGCTTGAACAATGCCAATATGAAGACCATGCGAACTTCTGAGATGCGAAAACACCAGTGCCATTTGAACATTCGGTCGTGAAGCTTTGTACATACGGCGATATTTTCGGTGTCATATTAAAATATGGCAACCAACGAACCCATTAGATAAACAGTGAGTTCCAGACGAAGGGTTAGAAGTACAGATAATTATGTAGACTGGCGACAATTACATTACTTGGTACAAAAGGTTAACGCTTCTGTCCTTCAAGAAAAATCAATTATCACAAATATGATAGGCTTTACCTGACATGTACATACACCAAAGGTCTTGACAGTCCCACAACCGATACGGGGAGGGACGACCAAATGAATGAAAAGAAGTCACAAGTCACCGGAAATGACGTGGCGTAAGTCGCCTACAAAGTTAACTGAACACTAAATAGGAGGAGGGCGATATGCATGTATATTACACAGCAGACTATTGGAAATTTCCCGGACGGAAGAAAGAAAGACAATGTTAAATTAGGAATCTTTAACACTGATTCCCACGGTGTAAACAAAGAACACTAATGGCTCCCCAAAATATAAGCAGCGTCTCAATTCTCCTGCAGAGACATTGCTGAAAAAAAACATATCGTTTCCTGTATGGTCAAATGGAACTAATATTTAATTGTGAGCACCTACACTAATTTACAACGAACCCAAGGTTTCAGCAAAAGAGTTCGAAATTCTGAGTCATTCATCGCAAGACGACTCATAATTCAAGCACCCCCCCCCCCCCCAAAAAAAAAGGTGCACACGTGAGTTCCTCTCTACAGCGATGTACACGTTCTGCTTCTGATTTAGAGGATATGAGGTCATTTCTTATCTTAATAAGGGACGTCCAACCAGCAACAAAGCACGAATTCCCTATTACATCCGGGGTCACCAACAGAAATCATTAGGTCATCATCTTATTACCATTGTCCTACGAATTCGTTTCCACCTGCCAGCCGTGCTCTACTCGGTCTCGGCCCGTGCCTAGCCAGAGTCCGTTTTTTGTGGTCAAACGTCTTCCCATCAGATTCCTTCATGTTTCACGGCGAAGGAACTGCGGGCTAAAAGACAATTGTCATGTGCTTCCTCTTGGTGCCCAGTAACCTTATATCCTGTTACCGGTTTTCCAACTTCAATATTTTACCCACTTCAAAAACACACAAATGGACACAAAGAAAATGTTCATCCTCTCCATTCATCATTTTCATTCACTCAGCCTGCAACTGGCGTAGTAAATTAACTATCTGTACAACACACGCCTACCTTCTTGGAAAAATCTATCTCTCATATACCGTCTTATTCCTGTGCTGACCGAACATCTCACCACATGCGTGGACAGCCTAATATCTCGGGATCACCATCCCACAACCCAGGGCAGACACAAACCGAACATCTCCCAAATACGAAACAAAGAGCTAATAACTACACAAGGACGATCAGTATGAAGAATAGAGAGGGAATGATAAAAATAAGGTAGATAGAGAGATGAAAGAACATGGATACAACGCAAAATCTTATTCAGATAATTCGGCGGCACTAAGGTAAACAGAAATTCAACGTTCTGCGAACTAGTCGTATTCGCCGTTTCGGAAGACGGCATATATAAAAACCTTAACAGCTTGATGCTGCAGCGGAAATGCGAGGCGACTACAAGCTATACAATTACTCTAGAACAAGGAAGAATTCCGTGACGACGGAGGCAGTATGACCTCTGAAACGTTGGTAAACATCGACCAGACTACACAGCGCAACAACCCAGAAGACAGAAATCTTCATACTCATCGCCCTGATGACGGAGGCAGTATGACCTCTGAAACGTTGGTAAACATCGACCAGACTACACAGCGCAACAACCCAGAAGACAGAAATCTTCATACTCACCGCTGTGAAAACCTCAAATCCTACACTCTAGAACAAATTTCTCACAGGTTCAAGTAATGTGTCAACCTCTTTGTAACAAGTTCATATCATTTTTAATAAATGTGAACAAAGTTTCAATAAACTGACGTCAACTGCAACCGGGCGGGCGGCCACAGAGCACGAAAGGTTGAGAACCCCTACACTTGGCTATAAGGCCATGTCTCTATGGAAATTGGCCTTCACCATACCCACTGCCAACCCCCAGAAGCCAAAAACCTGTCCAGTGCCACAAATCCCACGTGAAGTGGCCTGGACGCGAACATCGGCCTCCGCGGTGATTGAATAGACCATAGTATGATTCACGCTTCTTGTAACAAACAACTAACAATGAATACAGCGATGGCAGAACACAATAATAAGGACATTTGTTGCCACCAGGCACACTCACCACTGCGACGAAACACGACTCCTTCCTAGATACGAAAAGACAAAGACCTGGAAATTCCAGAATGGCTCTGCAACTCACCCCACTGCATAAAATTGTTTCTGGAAGATCCTTTCATTGTAATATGTCCAAAGCATTAAGCTGGCCACTCCCCCCTCCACACTTTCGTGACGAGATCTAGAATTCGTGGAGCTTCGCCACCAACATGCCCATACTCCGTCATGGTATGGTGCTTAGGTACAAGAAACTGGGATCTGCCATTGTAAAATCAACGACATCTAGGAATCCATGCAATATATTATCATTTATTACATTCCATAATCTATTAGCACTTCGGTAAAGACTGCTTTAAGGAGTTAGTTTGTTACTTTATACCAGAGGTTCCGAAAATGTGGGGGACGCCCCCTGGGGGGGGGGCTGTTGTTTGTATGAAAAACTTTTTTAACGAAATATGGAGAAACATTTTTAACATCCTTCGCTTGATTAAGGCAGTTCAGCAGTGGCAGCCATCAAAATAAAGTATCGTTCTACGATGAACCTGGAAAGCGACCTTAGAGCGGTCATTTCAAAATTCCAACCTCGGTATGGTAAGTTATGTTAACAGAAGCAACCACATCCATCCCACTAACCCAGGTATGAAGCGTATATTTTATTAGTTTTTTTTAAAATTAAATGTATTGAATAATATATACTAAATTATAAAATAATATATACTCATAGCTAAATTTTACGTCAAATCTGTTTGCTTGCACTTGTTCTGGAAGGGGGACGTGAAATTTATGAAATGTTTTAAGGGGGGCGCAAGGTATAAAAGTTTGGGAACCTCTGCTTTATCCTATTAAATGTTTAATTAAGGAATGGAAGGTTCATACAGGCATGACGACGCCCCACGACACCAGAGAGTTCAAAGTCTATTCTCGGCTGAATCAACTACTCAATGCGTTGAATCATGAAGTAAGGTAGTCTGGCTGCAAACTGGATATAAAGGACAACGTCTCACCTTGATTTCCTCAGGAGTTATGCTATGATCTGTGTAGTAGCAGAGCTGATCCACAGATAGTGAATTACACTGCCTGATCTTAGAAGCCAGGAGCAGGCACACGGCAGCCACGAGCTGAAGCTGACGCCGAGATATGACGCAAATGCACAGGAATCGATCCAAGAAATTCACCGCAAGTGGAAAGACCTGGTCTTCACATTGCTGCTCTTCACACACCTTGCATAAAAAACACAGTCATATTATTAGTCAACGCGGGCAACCAAATCGTTTAAAATTTGGTGAGAGAAAAAATTTCTTTCTAAATGGACGGTCCACAAAAGCTGAAAATAAAATTAAACTTGAAACCTCTGGAACTAAGATTTTAAAATATTTTCGTCTGAATGTGGCCTACGCCCGTTCTTCCCTTGTGACCAAATAGACAGTTTTAAAGCATGCTTCGGAAAGCTTAGAACTCTGATCATGGCAACATTACAATGGGGTTGGTGTTAGCGACATAGAACTTTCTGGTTCTACTGTTCAATAACCAACAATGAAAATGACTGCCTTGTGGGATGTTGTGTCGTGTAGTATCGTAGGAACTGACCAGGGTGCCCGGACAGTGTAGGCAATACGACAAACAACTACGAAGACCGCCATCTTAATACTCGCCGCTGTGAGAACACGAAACCTAACCTCACTTCTAACCAACAAGTTACATATATTTAGCTGTAGGTTTAAGAATGTGGCCGCTTAATGGCCCGAAGGATTCATGTTGTGTAAATTTCTGTTACATGCTTTTCACCTGACAAGCTAATGGTCATCACAGACTATAATAACCCATTTTAAATCCACGAAAATGCAAAGCAATTCTGATGCCATTACCATCTCAAGACAAATTAAACAAAATATGGTGTTTATCACAATTGATTCAGGAAACAAATTAACTCGACGCTACATTGTCTGAGCTACTAAAAAGCATCGTTAAATAAGCTATAAATAAATAAATAAATAAAATGTACGTACGAGGTGGTTACCGCCAGGTCACCCAAGACCGTCACAAGTAGTGTGTAGCGGAAGGTGAAGTATACATGTACGCGGGATAAACGAAGTTGTAATATCGGCCGAATTTGGAAATATTCTGACTGAAGTATCTTCAATTAGGCCACAACCCCCTTTATAAATCCTCACATTTCCGAACCATCTTCCCATCACATTGAACGCGTCAGAGAAAATGGGGAAAAAGCAACGTCCAAACAGTTTCTGACACGCGAAAATTATTTATAACTTACATGGGCTGGGGTAGGGG